ATGTTTCCCTCAGTTGCCTTCCCGTTTAAGGGTAAATAGAATCGAGGTGTGGAGCCTTAACATCCTGCTATACAATAGCTACTATATATCAAAATAAAAGTAGCTAATGGAAAGCTTAACTTGAAAAAAAGCTTTTCTTTTTATTTCGGCTAAGCTCACCTCCTTAAGTTGAAGATCATTAAAATTTCAGGACAAGCCATACGAAAAAAAAGCAGTTCATTTCCGACCAAAAAATCGATGATCCAGTAAAGGTGACTCTAACTTCGACCTGAAATTTAATTTTCAAGCTCTAACAATAGCTTGACCTAAAACCTCATTTGAAAGCCAGATGCGCAAGCTTTCATTAGAGACCCACGCATGCTCTAATTGAAAAGCTAAGATAAACTTTCGATATCATTGGTTCCTGGTGGCCGAAATGTCAAAATAAATGAACCAAGGTAAATATTGAAGGCAACTTCATATTTAAATGATGATGCGAGTAAGTAAACCTTCTTCGTTCAGCATCAAACAAATGTTATGTTATGCCCGTACTTGTCCAGTTGGAATACAACTGCTCGAGACTGCGTTGACGAATATCGTTTCTGAAATTAATCTAACACGTTGAAAAATTAAAAGGAAAACAAGCAAACAAACCTAAAACGCCTCAGGGATTTTGATGTTTACCAAGACATGCAAATGACACGGTCGGCCAAATGAAGCTGCCCTTCGAAAAATTATAAAATCATCATCAAACGACGCATTTTGTCAGAGGCTAACTCAACTCAATTTCCAACCCTCTGTAAAAAGTTACATTTAATCGGGCTGCATATTGTCTAGAGATAAGGTTAAATGGGAATTTATTAGCAATGGGAAATTTTCTTAACTTTTATGTCACTTATCTTTTAGAAGGTGGATTCTCAGCGACCTTGCGTCATGGCCAAGTGCCTCCAATAATTCACCAACTTTTGTGTTTTCCTTAAAAATACTACTAAGAGGCTCATCTTTTTTAACGGGAACTGCATTTATCAACAATTCTTTCAACAGGTCATCGTTGAACAATGATGCTCTCCCATAAATATGTTGAGGCAGAGCTACAGGTACAGGTGCATTGGCATGCCAGGAGAAATCGTTTATCCACTTCTTGCACTCGTCTGGATAATCATAGAAAAGACCGGGGTGAACATCTTTTCCGTTATCGCCGAAGATGGGGACAATTGAGACCGATGGCAAGTAATCGAGATTCAAATGAACCTGCAGAAGCCTTGCGTACAGCAAGCCCTGGTGGAGGAACATTCCATATGTGTCCCGGGAGTCCCAGAAATACAGCAGATCGCGGTTAACTTTCCATTCAACGATGACGTACTCACTCTTTTTCCTCCATTTGTTGTAATACCAGCCGATCGCATCAGCGTTTCCTCGCCAGAAATATACTTCCTGCTCGCTGTCATCATTCATGTATCCGTACAAATGGAAATCACTTTCCAATAGCTCTATACCAAATTTTGTTTTCATTTCGTAAAATAACGATTTGGCTGCTGCGACGTGTTTATCGCTTTACTCTGTCATCTCCTTTCCCTTTATTGAGTCTTTCAGAAGTTTGTGCCATTTATTGCCGAGATCGGTGCCATATGGCGGACCTGAGAGGCCAGCTTCGGAAAGATTCGAGTACCTTCCTACGAGATATTTTCTAAAGCTCTCTTTGACTTCCTTGCTCATCTGAAATAAAGGGCGGGTAGTTACTAGAAGAAACGCCACATTATGTTGAAAATTCTGCTTAAAATTATCCTTTAAGGTCGAGTCTAACACGCCAAGAAGTTAATTTTGACAGGGATTTGTCCGCGCTCCGAATTCCTTGGCATGCGACGCGAAGGAGTATTGCTACTCTTTCTATTCCGACGAGAAACTAGTCTGGCCGTTCGAAACAACCCCTTTTAAAAGCAAATTATAGGAATCCTTAGATTCGATTATACCTTGGGAAAGTGCTTAATCATCTTCCAGTCGCTCTTGTCTGATGGGTTTAGGATCTTCATATCGATTTCCTTGGGTTCGTTTTTCTCAATATCCTTCCTCAAGTTTTGTAATTTCTTTTTGGCCACTATCTTGGACGCAAGACCATCTAGGGAGCTCATTTTGTATTTTCTTCACTGTCATTTTGCCAAAATTGGTGCCAAATGCTTCACCAGAAGTCGGTCTCTCTTCTGCAGTGATACGGCGAGTGATGACGATATGAAATGCGAGAGGTGAAGAGGCTGGGGCGAGACAAGATAATGACATGTTTGGACTACTTCTACCCTGCGAGCAGAGCCTTTTCTCCTTCATCGCGCTCGCAAATTCGTTTCTTTTAAAACGCCCAGTGGTTTCAGTCTAAGACGTAGACCATCGAGTCACATTTTGATGAAAATCTAAATTTGCCTTCTCCATTCTCAGCCATTGTTTTCATTTCAGTTGTTTAGCAGTCCTCCTTAAGGTAAAGATCATAAGCTTTGCGCGGGCGCGTCACGAAAACTTGAAATTTCAGAACAAGGCATATGAAAAAAAACAAAACAAAACAGTTTATTTCCGAAGAAAGAGTAAAGGTGGCCCAAACTTTGAACTGATTGAAATTTCATTTTCAAGCTCTAACAATAGCTTCACCTAACACCTCATTTGAAAACAAGCTGCAGGTACGAAAGCCTTAATTAGAGAACCACCTATGGTGTAACGAAAAGCAAAGATTATCGATCGATATCATTGGTTCTTGGCGTCCCTGAGAATGAATATTAAATGAACTAAGGCAAACATTGAAGGCAATTTCAGATAATATGAGTAAGTATACCTTCTGCGTTAACCATTTAAAAAATGCTATGTTATGTCTGTTCTTTTCCATTTGAAATGCAACTACCGGAGACTGTGTTGACGAATATCGTTTCTGAAATTAATCTAACACGATAAAACATTAAAAAAAAACAAAACAAGCAAACAAGCCTAAAACGCGTCAGGGTTTTACGATGTTTACTAAGTAGATATGCAAATAATGCTGTTATTTAACAGCGTTATTTGCATAACATGACTATTACCAAATGACGTGTTTTATCAGAAGTTAGTTCAGAACAATTTCTAACACTCTGTAAAAAGTTAAATCTAATTGCACTGCAGATTGACTAAACATAAGGTCAAATGGGAAATGTTTTGTAATAGGAAATGTTTTCTAATTTTATAGCTTCATTCGTCTCTAGAAGTGATTGTCAGCAAGCTTGCGTTTAAGCCGAGGGTCTCCAATTGATACCAACAGTTGCGCTTTATTATAAAATATATTTAAGTGGCACATCTTTTTTTAACAGAAACTGCACCGTAAAACACGTTCTCATTGAACAGTGTTTTATCCATGAGTGGCCTGACTGCTGCTGCGAAGGAGATTCGTATACCATCATAAGTGGGTGATTCGTGGGCTTAGACTCGTCTAGATAGCGTTAGAAAAGACCAAACTGGGCATTAAACTCGCTTTTGCCGGAGATGCCGAGGACAATTAATAGAGATATTTTGTTAAAAGACAGAATTGGCATCTAGCAAAAAATTTTCATTAAGAGTGTTCTTAATCTTATTTAGGTGCTAGGTGACATGCATGGAAATAACATATTAGCATAAGCCATTCAGTTAAAAAATATTGTAAGCAGTTGATAATTATCTATTTCGATAGAGGTCTTCCTTTGCAAGTAGAGCAACTGTTACCTTTTCTTTCTGAGAGAAAATCGTCCGGGAAAAACAAGATCACGTGGTTACTCTTGCCGTTCATGTTTTACTTAAACGCGATACTAATAATGATACTCTAAGGCCCCATTTATTTGGTCTTGGGTACCCGAAATAACGCGACTCTCGAGTTACCTTGGGCGAGCTAACCTTTCACTTATTTCTTTACAAAATTCAAACGCCCGTTTATATGAGGGTGTGAACTGGTCTATTATAGGAGGGGGGTGGGAGGTTGGGCGAGCGAGTTGTCTTACCTCGGTAGGTAGGGTAACCCTGGTAGGCGGGACAACTTTTTTTCATGTAAACACTTTGTCTCGCCCACCGAGACGAGACACGTCGAACAGAAAGTGCGTGCGCACGCTATGACCAGAGCACGTGCGTATTGCAGCCATTCTTTTCCTATCGTACGCACTCTGTCGGAGATATAATCTGGTCTGGTCAAAGGAGGGTTATATTTAGCAGAAGTCAAATTTCATATAAACGTTTAGTAGAGTTGTCTCGTTGGGAGGGTTGTCTCGGGTACCCGAGACCATATAAATGGTGCCTTGTAATGATGGCGCGGGGTAAACCCGGTGGGGAACTCGGGTCAGTTATTTCTGTTGTGTCGCCGGCCTCTCGGAGCCCCTACCCCATCATAGACTATTTTGTGACAAATTATAAACCCATTTCACACCGCGAATCCCTTCTTTCCAGAATTTTCATACTCCTGAAACCCCGAAAATGTGAGTCTCCATTCGAGTAACTCAAATGAAATTGCAGTCCTGTCCTACTCAGTCCATTCGTGAGAATACGACCCTGTCCAGCAGCACATCCCATTAGCCTATTCATGGGAAGTAACCCCAACCCCCGCCCCTCAAGGGGAGTCAAGCCCCGGTGTAAGTACTTTTTAACGATGTTCGAGGAATCCCGGAATTTCAGTAGATCACATTTAGTCTTTTAAGTCAACAAGGGCATAGTTATGCTTGCATCGCTACCCCTCGTTGAAGTATCAACCGATTGCATCAGCGTCTCCTCTCCATATACTTCGGGTGACAAGTAGTTTTCACTCTTCATGTAGCCATTCTGATTCTAGTAAATAATAATAATAAAAAAAAAAGATTAACGCAATGAATAAACAAGAGCCTGCATATGGTGCGGAGTTATGCGCGAATATTTGTTCGCGGAAATGATCAGTCCTGATAAGAGAACAGTTTTCGTGCACAAAGCCCGAGGAAAACTCTTAGCCTCGAGGAGCAGATGACTTCTTACAACAAATTTATGAGCATTCTTTCGTGACAAATGGAAGCGAGTGTATCTATTATTCTCCAGATATTTTTGCAACGCGCGGGAGAAATGTTAATTAACGAACAATTTATTGTTTACTACGTGGAATGTTCCCTTTTCGATGTTCTTAGGCACGACTTAATGAGCAAACAAACATATTGTCTTCTGTCACAACAGCTGAACGTTCTCTCGTATTAGATAAAATTTTTAATGAAAACTTTTATCGACATGGATGCAAGGTTCCAATTCGGAAATATCACTTGGGGTATTTCACCGAATAGTCCCAATGTTAGCTAAGGTATATTACGCACGTGATGCGTTTAGACCAATCGCACCCGAGCAACCGAGCAAAAATATTTATTGGGTTGTAATTACCAAATAGTCTTCCAAGTTAAGCAAGTCAGTGTTAAATAAAATCCACAGAAGACATGCATTCTTTTACAGACGTCTTCAGTGAAAACATACTGGGGTTTTTATACTCATCACTACTTGGTAAAAATGTCTCAGAAATAATGAAAGGCCGGGTACATCGTCTTCGCAGGCCGGCAATTTGAATTACATTAAGAATGTTGGAGAACAAAAATCATGCTCGTGGCCTCTCATGCATGCATATGCATGTAGTAGAATAAATGAACGCTAACGCACATCAATTGATTGTTAATTTTATTTAATCAAAATAACTTTCAAACCGATAACAACATTAAATGCGGTAAGTCAATTGTTGAAGCTTATAAACTAGAAAACGTTTTTCCTACAACATGCACGCCAGCGATAAAAAAAA